ATTTATAATTTAAAAAATCTAATGACTTAAACGATAATATAAGGTGTAAAATAGCTGAATGTGTAATATTGAGTTGTACAAAAAATGCCAAAGAAAAAGTATATATATCTATTATTGGTGCTAGCTTGCCTTTGTGGTGATAATGAAAAAATTGGYCTCAACTTAAATATAAATGAATTTTCTCGAACCTAAGCCTAAAATTTCATCTCAGGAACATATTTATTCTAATACTTTCTCAGCTTTTGTATACTAAATAATAGGCCGTTGCATTGTTGGCCCAAAGTTTATGCTATTTTGAATTGCGATTACTGCGGTTTTCCATTTTCTGCGAACTCGACCTGCACGCTGAAATKTGGTTTACGTTTTTCGCTGCCGCCAATTCAATCAAAAATAATCAGTCAGTACCTTTTATGTCTTTGACTAGCGGCAGTGAAAATCCCATTTCACAACAAGCCGTTGAAAGGTCTGAGTTCAAAGAATATGGAAAACCGCAGTAGTGCTAAGGATAGAGTAGGTGCATGATTGAGCGAAATAATTGAAAAGCAATCAAAAACGTCTCTACGGCTCAGCGCTCGCTTTCCATCGTATAGTTAAAATGCCAGAAAATAGGCCAACAAACAGAAATAAACGGAAAAGTGAGTAAAGGTCTGTGTAAATATTTCCGTAAACGTGTATGCATGAAATAGATGATGAAAAGAATTCAAACTAATGAGCAGTTGTTAAGTGAAGGTCCAAAAAGTAATACTTAAATTTGATGAACGGGAATCGAACCCAAGAAAAATATGTGTTGTCTTAAGTTTGAAGCAAAGTGATGAACATTTTGAATCGATCGTACTTAAAAAATCATGAACAACATACCTGCCGATTTGATAAGAATTCTCGTGTATCCCTCAACAATGTTACAGGAATACCTAAATAAGATGCAATCCAAGGTATGAAATGAAACTGTTCTTTCTTCAACTTGTCTGTCATGATTACAGCCGTTACATTCTTACTAATAACATCCTTGCAAAACTTGACCAGAGAATTCTCAAGGTTAGCATTCACTTTTTCCAAGTAATAAAACTGCGTACTGATTTGAGTGGTATTTATAATCTTCTTGAGTTCTTCTAGTGCTTCAGTAGCAATTGTTTGTACTTCTGTCAGGTTATCAGATGTGACAATTGCAATGGTGACTTGACGTTGCTGTTGAATGGTACCAGATGATCCTCCTTGGCTCGCTGCAGCAATGCTAAACATACGCTTCGTATTCGAATCATTTCTTATACACGATAATGCCACGAAGAAATAAATACAAGACCATGGCATGATGGAAATGAGAAATTCGAACAACGACAGGTGTAATGAATAGAGTACGATATATAAATAAAATCGAGTGTCTAAATTCTCTCAACGTCATTAAAAGGACTGTATATACACTTCCTTCGATGTCCTGCTCCGGTACCATCTAGTTTCAATTGTATTTGTTTACAATTTTCGCCGTTCACAAGCCTTGAACTCGAAATGATACCATCTATTAATGGGTAGCTTTCGACGCTACATCACAAAACATAATAATCTAAAGCTTCACACAGCTGCGTCAACGTGTTACATTAAGAATTCTCAAAAACTGAGAAACCCTAATCAACCAATTAACTCTCGTTAGGGAAAAAGTTAAAAAGCTTTGAAAAATAATCAGGCTGTTTGGTATATATCTTGTTCGTTGTATATTCCTATGGCAATAGAACTTTCAAATGTAGAAAATTGGCAGAAGAAAAAGAAGAAGAAAAAAAAAGAAAAAAGAAAAAGAAAAGAAAAGAAAAAGAAAGAGAGAGTTCTCGTCATTATACGTTACGTGCATGTGTGGCCAAGTTCAAGATAACAAAAGCACAGCGCTACTAAAGTCTCTTTGGCTTTTTTTTTTTTCTCTCCAGTTTTTATTTTTTTATTTTTTTATAGAAAGCATTGGAATACCTGATTGGATTCATTGTATTTTCTAGGAGTCTATACGCCTTTGGATTACTACTTATTTATTTTATTTTTATTCTATGAGGAATCGAATTGAAAATTCTTTCCATTATTGAAAGACTAGACAAGAACATTATGAGAAATGAAGAATAGGGTCTTATTTAGTATGATAAAAAGCTATAGAATGGCTTGGAGTTTTTTGTCAAATATACTAAGATAATAATTTCAGTACGTAGAATCGAGCTTTGTAGTTTTGAAATAATTGGTTCCTTATAAAATATATTTTTGTTAGTTTTAAAGCTAATTTATGGCTAGTATATAATTAACACCTGTCCAATTTTTTGCTGTGTTTGAAACATTTCCTTAGTTTCCGATAACAACAATATAATAAAATTAAAAGAGACAATGAAATAAAATGAAATGAAGATATTAATAATATATCGAACAAAAGAGAAGAGAAGAGAAGAGAAGAGAA